TTTCAGACTTAAAGTATCATTAAATAAATGCTAAATATTTTATATATTTATATATTTTATATATATATCATATATATAATGTGTGTGTGTGTGTGCAGTATTATATATTTTTTGTATGTTATAAAATTGAAAATTAAAGTAGAAACCATCTTTTAATTCCTGATTCATATTTCTAGGTTACAAATATATGCCTAAAATTGTCTTTTGTTTCTATTCTTTCTTTTTGTGTATATTTGTTTATGTGTGTATATTTCTGATATTTCTTTTCCAGTTTTATTATATCAAAATGGAATATTTGATATATATGTGTGTGTGTATATCTTTATTTGTTTATATGTCTTATGTTTTATATATAAATTTATTGTTTATGTATGTTCCAGTATTCACAATATTTTGTTATATAGAAAATATGTTTTAAATTGTAATATGTTTTTATTCTCTGTTTTTTATATTATAATTTATTTCCCATTTCATTGTATATGTATATTTAATTCTTTTTCATGCTTTCCATTGTGTTTTTATATCTTTCCCAAAGGTTACTGAGCATTTATATTACATATTTGGGGGAATTCAACGCCAGTTCTATATTTTAGTACGTTTATATATATATTTATTCTGTTTCTTTATAATACCACCTTTTATTTCATTCTTCTGTCTTTATTTATAGATATATATATTTATTTATATGGTATTTATATATGTATGTATATAATTTCTATATATTCCTCTATGTTTGTGTCTTTCTAACGTATTTTTTGCAATAAAAATTGTTTTCTTTGTGTAGAATAACAATAATAAAAAAGCACTTACCGGCGTAAGAGTCCCAACTAGCGTCCAGCTGGCAGACAAAAAATAAAGCAGGTTGTAACTTAATACATATCCTGCAAACTGAGAAATCATGCTAGTATTTATATAGTAATACTTCCACTCAGGTACCAGCAGCCAATCACAGCCCAAGCAATGGACTATCCCACTTTAGCATAATGAGATGCTCCATTGCACCATAAATCTCTCTGTCTCAATGTTGAATTAGTATTCACTCAGCTTGCTCCACAACTGAGTGGTTTATCTTGACCACGTGATTGTTCGACATGGCGCTGCGAACAGGATTTATGACACCTGAAAATTGGGAACTCTTCTTCATTGAAGCAGGCATATCCACCGACTCGGCCAAAACTCATGCAACAAGGTTTGCGGACGAGAAGCTGACAATCGAGAGCCTTCAAATGCTGGATCGATCTATGCTTAAGGAGCTGGGAGTCACATTAATGGGAGAAGCCCTGTGTATCATTAAGCAGGCTAAGGAATCCACCACCCAGACAACCCGCATTCAGGCACTAGCAGCCAAGCCTCCTCATCTCAATCTCGAGATGACACCACAGCAATTCAGGAAGTTCCGAATTGACTGGGATGTCTTTACCAAGATGACAAATATGCCAAACTCCCAAGCTAATATTCACCTATACAATTGTGCTGATGAGGCTGTGCAAAATGCCATAATCAACACACACCCTGACTTCTTTACCACTGATCCAGATAATCTACTTGACATGGTAGAAGTGTTGGTCACCCAGAGGTCAAGTCCTATTGTCCATCGCCTTGCTTTTGCCTCCATGTCTCAGGATGCTGATGAGCCAATACAAAGTTACCTTGTCCGCCTCAGAGCCGTAGCCGTTGATTGTAACTTTACCTGCCCCTCGTGTGAACATGACCTGTCTGATATATACATCAAGGACCAGATCATCCGTGGAATAGCAAATGATACACCCAGGCTGACCCACTGGCCAAAGCTGGGGCACTTAAATCCCTTGAACAAAATATCCGTCATGCTGAGGCATTTGAATCAGCATTGCGGGACCAAACCTCAATGGCCAGTGCTTTCAGATACAGCTGCTGCTCGGCTATCAACATACCGCAGACAGAAGGGTACACCACAAGCCAACGAGGCGATCCGTACCAGCACCTATTGCAACTGCAATGTTAAACCAAACCACCAGGCTTGCTTAGGTTGTGGCAGCCACCAGCATGGCACCTCAGGAACTGAATCACGCCGGCTAAAATGCCCAGCATGGGGACAAACATGTAGTAATTGTGGGAAGCCCAATCACCTATCGAGGGTATGCCGGGCTAAGAAACAAGCTCAAGCGGTCAGGAAAAGCCTAGAGGCTAATGAAGCCGCCATGGACACACTTATCGCCCACATCACATTCAATCAAACTACAGGCACGTATACGTTTAAAGACACAGGCCAGATAAGGGAAATTGATGCATATGTTGTTCCATTTTCGCCGAAACCGGATCCCAGACAAATTAAGAATATCCCCAGAAATCACAGCACTAGGATGACAATCTTTCCTGACAGTGGGGCCACCATATAAAGGGGACTTAAGCACCTTCTGAATATGGGGCTCACTATCAACAACCTCATTCCATCAAGAAAAGTCGTCCGAGCTGTGGGAGGCTTTTTACGCTTGTATTTCACATTCATCCCCGTGGAATTCATCGTCCAAGGAAGAACAACTAAACAAGCCCTATACATATGCAAAAAGATTCATTTTTTATACTTCAGCAAAGCAGCCTTTATTGATGTAGGGATACTGTTTTTTTCCCGAAAGCCAACAACTACAATATTACCCCAAACAACAATGCAACACATGCCCTCGACAAGCACACATAAAAAAATCGGACGTAAGCCCTAAACAATGCAAAGTCGAGGGACAACTTCCAACACATAAAAAAAACTCCCTTTTCTTCCAACAGAACAAAACATTGATAAGCTCAAGAATTGGCTATTAAATCAATTTGCCGAAACGGCGTTCAAGAACAATGGTGAATTCCACCGATGTCTGGCCCCACTGCACATATACATCTTTCAAAGAAGGAGCAGTCCCCAAAAAAAGACATTTCTTAATTCCTGTTCAGTTTTTCACTTCAAAGAGCCCGTAAGACAGGCCCTTTGGGAAGATGTGAAAGGGGTATCATAACCCCAGTACCCCGTTGGCATTTAACTGATTGGTGTAGCACTATGGTAATTTTATAAAAAAAAAATGGCAAACCACGAAGAACCATAGACTACCAACACTTGAATTCACAGTGCAAACGGGAAACACACCATACAGGGTCACCATTAGCTTTCTTTTCACAAGTGCCACCTAAAAAAAAAGAAAACAGTGTTGGATGCTGTTGATGGATATCCTCCATCCCCTTAGATAAAGAAACCAACTCACCACCTTCATCACAGAATGGGAAGGTTCATGTACCTGAGAATGCCACAAGGGGCATCTGGCGATGCATTCAACCCGAAGATGATGATGAAGTAATAAAAAGACATCCCCAAAAAATGTAAATAAAAAAATCGTGGATGACACCCTACTCTATGACTCTGACATCGAAAAAAAAATTTTTTTATATTCGATTTTCTCCTCCAATACAGGAATACGCCCATTCATTTGAATCCAAAAAAATATCCCTGCTCAACTACTACTCCACCGCCGACTACGTGAAAACATACCATTCCACCCAACACTCTATAAGCCACACGCGAATTGGATAAACCGCAGCACAAAATCGTGAGATAAGTTTGTCCCGGCGGAACGCCTGTCTCATAGAGCGATACAACAGAACAGCACACATTTAAAACCCCCCTTCAAAAAGGACAAATAGTGGCACTACAAAGACCAACAACCCGTCGATGGGACACAACAGGTCAGGTCATTGAAATTTTCCCCAACCACCAATACCGTATCAGAGTTGACGGATCAGGTAGAATTACCTTACGAAATCGCCGATTTTTCAGGAAACTGGATACACCAACAATTCCAGTTCCAAGACCTAGTGCAATACCTGAGGCCCCTACACCAGTGCAACAAACAGTCGACGCTGGAATAACATCAAACACTGCTCAGCTGTTTACAATAACACGGACATGCTTTTTCGGGCATTGTCCAGACTACTTCCGCACAACCAGCCAGGTTTAAAGGAACTCATCCCTCGTATAAAGGCCACTACCCACACGCGATGGGGGAAAGGAGATGTAGAATAACAATAATAAAAAAGCACTTACCGGCGTAAGAGTTCCAACTAGCGTCCAGCTGGCAGACAAAAATAAAGCAGGTTGTAACTTAATACATATCCTGCAAACTGAGAAATCAAGCTGGTATTTATATAGTAATACTTCCACTCAGGTACCAGCAGCCAATCACAGCCCAAAGCAATGGACTATCCCACTTTAGCATAATGAGATGCTCCATTGCACCATAAATAGCTCTGTCTCTATGTTGAATTAGTCTTCACTCAGCTTGCTCCACAAACTGAGTGGTTATCTTGACCACGTGATTGTTCGACACTTTCTTTCTTTTTTCTTTCAATTTCTTTTTTTTCTTCATGTTTAATATTGATTTTTAATTTTCCTTCTCTATTTAAATATCCTTATACTTGTCTTTTTTATATTCAATTAAAAAAATAATAGATAATATACTTTGTCTTTCTTAAAAATTTCTTTTTCTTGATAATAGTTTTGATCCAGGCATTTCTTTTTAAATTTTTTCAGCCTTTGGTAGTTATGTATGTGTTTCCTTCCTTTTTTTTACAATTTTCTCTCTAAAAATTTTCGAGTTTTGAATTGTTATTCTTATCCTTTTTTTTCTTTTTTTATTTTCTTTTTTTCTATAGAGTTCTTTTTTCAATTTATATGACTTTTTTTTTTTTTTTTTATATTTCTTCTTACAAATTTTCTTTCTTTCTTTCTTGTCGTCTTTTTCTTAATATCTTTCTTTTTTCTTTTTTAGAAAAGCTATCTTCCTTCTTTTATTCGGTTCAAAATGTAGCTTTTGTATCTTCCATTAATTCTTTTTCTTTCTTTTCTTTGAATTTTCTTTCTTTTTTCTGATTTTCAATTTTTTTTTTTTCTCTTTCAAAACAACTTTTTTATTAGTTTTTTCTTAATTTTTATTTTTTTTTTTTTTTTTCAAGTTATCTTCCATTTTATTCGGTTCTATTTTATGGCAATTTTTTATTTTCTTTCTTTCTTTTCTTATTTTCTTTCTTTTCTTTCTTTTTTTTTTTCTTTTTTCTCAATCATTTTTCATTCGTCGTTTTTTTTAATTTTTTTTCTTTTTTTTTATTACAGCTGTCTTTCTTTTAACACTACATTTTTTAAATCTTTCTTTCTTTCTTTATTTCTTTTTTCTTTCTTTCTTGCATTTTTTTCTTTAGTATGATTTTATTTTTCTTTTGTAGTTTTTCGTCCTTTTCTTTATTTTATTAAAATATCAATATTTTTATTAAAGTGTCTAGATTTTATTCGGTTCAACATGTCTTTTTTTTATCTTTATTTATAAATCTTTCTTAAAGTTTTTTTTATTTTCAAAACTTTCGTCCTTTTCTTAATTTCTTCCTTTTTTTTTTTTTTATTTCTTTGTCTCAATTTCAACATGTCTCTTTCTTTCTTTATTTTTCTTTTAAAATTTCTTTCCCCTTTCTTTCTTTTTTTTCTTTTCTTTCTTTCTTTTTTCCAAAATTTTCAGCGGAATACATTCCTTCTAATTTTTTTTTATTTTTCTTTAAAATATATATTTAAATTTTGTCGTTTTTTTTCTTAATTTTTTATATTTTTTTTCTTTCTTTTTATTTCAATTTTTTCCTTTTTATTAGGTTCAACATTTTCTTTCTTTCTTTCTTTCTTTCTTATATAATTTCTTTCTATTCAGATCGAAAAATATTTTTTGGAAATTCTACAAATTTCAAATGACAAAAAGTGGAATATTTATTACTGTAAAAGAAATAATCCTTATATTTTTTTTTCTTTCTTTCTTTCTTTATTTTAAAGCTCGGGGACATTTTTTTTTTAAAGTAAGAATGAAAGTTTTTTTAAAATTTTCTTTTCTCTTTCTTTATTTTTACTAAATTCGATTTTCTTTCTTTCTCTTTTTTGAATACTTGTTAATTGTCGTTCTTTCTTTCTATTTTGTTTCCTTTCTAATTGGAACTCCATTAAATTTTTCTTTCTTTTCTTTCTTCAAATTTTCAAAAATTTTTCTTTCTTTCTAAATTTGAATTTTCTTTTCCTTTCTTTCTTTCTTTATTACTTAGAGTTTTCTTCTTTTCTCTTCGATTTAACTTGTCGTCCTTTTCTTAATTTTTTCTCTCTTCCTTTTTTTTTCTTACGTGGTCATTCATCTTCTCTTTCTTTTTTTTTTTTCAATTTAATTTTTTCATTTTTTTTTTTTCTTTATAAATCTTTCTTGAAAAGGGTTTCTTTTTTTTTTTTCCGTTTCACTTGTGGTTTTAAATTTCTTTTTTTTTTTTTTTTTGATTCATTGGTTTCCAAAATTTGGTCGTTGTCTCAAAATTTTTTATTTCTTTCCTACAATTTTTTCTTTTCAGAAATTTTCTCCTATTGTCTTCATTATTATTTGCATCTCATTCATTTTTTTTTCATTCAAATTTGAAACCTTTTTTTTTTTGCAACGATAAAGACAATTAAAAAACGCATTTTTCTATCAAGAGAAAAACACAAGATTTAAAGAAAAAACCACGACTGGAAGGAAAGTCATCAAAAGTATTCGACCCCGTCACTAATTGTCAACTAAGAAGTGAATTTACAGTGTTTTTTCAAATAATTCTAGTAGGTCGATCACTTAAACGATTACAAAGTCGCTTTTTTAAAACTTATTGCTCAAAGCATCGATCAGGTAAACTCCACAAAACCAAAGAATGAAAAAAAAAAAAAAAAATTTGAAAATATATTATTTTTCCAGAAATACGTGTCAAATCTAGATTTTGACTTTTAGTTTTTATTGATGCAACGTCGTCTGTTTTTAAAGATGTATTTCCACAAAGACCATTCTTTCTTTCAATATATTTTTTCTTAAATTTCTTTCTTTCTTTTTTCTTTTTTCTAGGTGTGTGTGTATCAAAGTCTTTTCATCAATCTATCTTATTTATAAATTATATCTATCTATCTATCTATCTATCTATCACATCAAGTTTTTTCGAAAATATCTATCTATCTATCTATCATTCTATCTATATCTATCTATTATCTATTTTAACAAAAATTTTCGTGTCTGCCTGTCTGTCTATCTATCTATCTATTTATCTAATTAAAATTTTAAAAAAATGTCTATCTATCAGTCAGCGTCAAATATCTCTATAAAAAATATAAAAAGTCTTTTCAAAAAGACCATAATTATGTAGTGATACTAGTCTTACTAATTAACCCATTACTGGGGTACAGAAGAAATGATCATTCATATGAATTTACCAATGGCATAAAGAATGTATATAGAATATAAATAACCCAATTGAAATTGGAACTCGATTCCTGTCGTTATCCATCTGCAGATCTAAGCTGAAAGCACCGAGTATTTCCAAGCGGTCATCCAACTAGGTACTGACCAAGCTCGATGTTGCTTAACTACTGTGATGTATGAAAACTGGTGTTTCAACGTGATATGGACGTAAACCTTTGTATCAAGACCCGACAGCCAAACTTACAGAGCCTGGTATTCTCAAGCGGTCAGCCGACATGTTATTCTCCAGGATTGACGTCGATCGTATTGGAACCGGTGTAAGAAAACGAAATTTGGCCGTAAGCTCATTGTATGAACCTTAGAAACATTTAAGTTTACAGCATTTGTATACACAAGCGGTTTTCTGTTTAAGGGTCCTGGGCAGTTTTAATGTTACTTTAACTTCGGTGATCGTAGACTGGTGTTATATCGTTATAGGGCCATATGCTTCACGTGTATTTGAGACAAAATGGATTGGAGATTAGATTACGATTGCATGGTGCATAAAAAAAGACTTTTAATTAAATCATTCGTTTTTCGGAGAATGGACATTTTTGAAATTTTAAATATCTTTCATTGACCGGATAAGTGATTTCGAGCAAGATTGTTTTGGTCGAAGGGTTATGAACAGGAAATCGTGGCATTGAAATTTTCTCATTTCGACTTTCAGTCCATTTCTAAAATGGTGGGGAGGTTATTTAAACCAGGAATAAGAAAAAAAAAACAGATCTATAAAGACAAAATTAACATCCAATCGAGATAAAGAGATCTTTTAAAAAGTATTGAATTAAATATTGATGTTATTAGGCAAAAAATTATATATATATATATATATATATATATATATATATATATATAATGAAAAATATACGGAAAAAAAACAAAATCCTAATATGCAATTATGCTGTTTTAATGTTAATATAATGTCAACGTCGGACGTTAAAATATTTAATAGACCATCTTCAGGACATATTCATAAAACATAATTGACATAGACCATATTCAACATGAAAATACGATGAACATAAACGGAACGCTGGATCTTATAAAAGATTTCAGTTATCTGTTTGGATTGGTATTACTTTTAAATACATATCTATATATATATATATATATATATATATATATATATATATATATATATATATTGAACAATAAAAAAATAAAAAAAATTAAAATCTTTAGACACACTGGGTTGTAGATTAATATTCTTTCGTTTTTTTTATTATTATTCCATTTAGATTCCTCGACTAGTTTCGACCGAAATGGCCATCATCGGGAGGAGAAATATTTCTATTTTTGGTACCAGTAAACTACAGAAATGAATGTTTTGATGGAGAAAATGAACTTTTGTCTGTAGTTTTCATTTGTTTTTTTTATTTTTTTTATCTTTTTAACATGAATCTTTTAACATTCCTTGTGTTGGTCAAACAGTCTCTTTTAAGTTGTTATTTGAAATAAGAACTGGATATACATGGTGTTTTGAATTCTCTGGTCAGTTTGACAGTTTTATTGGACCTGGTGAGGGGATGTGTCTCTGTTTAGTGTTTGTGTGTGTGTTATTTGGTTTTATCCCCAAAACACTAGGCTAATTGAGTTTCTTTTTTTACAGGTTTTCAGATAAGATATTTAGCAATCTTGAAATCATTTATCGTAAGAATCATTGAAAACCCCTTTGAGTTATTCAGTTGGAAAGAGAACAGGTTATAATCATTTTTGTCAGTCCAACTGTCTTCACAGATAAGCAATTGTGAAAGGAAAAAGATCATTCACGCCTCCAGTAATGGTACCAACTTTCATATTCTGGCTTCCATCTTCGAAATCCATTCAGGAACCATCTGAAGAACGGTGATTAAGTTTAAAATGAGGGGACAATAGACAGAAAAACTGGATGAGGAGGTCACGAAAGGAAGATGGATCCGCATTTCAACTGAGAGTTAAATACATTCTTATTGTTCGAATTAAGGTCCAGTGGTTTTATAAAAACCCTGGGGAATTCCGGTACGATATCAGGAAGATAGAATTATTTCTAAGATACAACGGTTCAAAGTTTAATCTTGCAATTGGATAATTTTGCAAAAGGAACGGGTAATGTAGGCAAGGTTCGAAAATTCAAAATGTGTGTCGGCTTTCATTTATGTCGAAACATTCTAAGCTTATCCATGTAGATTAAGTGGCTCTGAAACCACATTCCCAGGGTCAAGTCATTGAAAGCGATAAAATATCTATCTATCTATTTATCTATCTATCTATCTATCTATCTATCTAAAAATGTCTGTTGTTTGGCATATCTATCTATGTATGTCAAGAACAGTCTAGGAAGAAATTCTATCGTCACATTATCTATCTATCTATCTATATATCTATCTATCTATCCGATTCTGGGAATATCTAAATATGTATTTATCTATCCCAGTTTATTCATATCTATCAATTTATCAGAATATTTGATTCTATTCATATCTATCTATTTTTTTTATTATCTATCTATCTATCTATCTATCTGAAAAATCTATCTATCTCAGTTTATTCAAAAAAATCTATCCATTTTTATTCAATAAAATATCTATTTATTCTATCTATCTATCTATCTATTAGGTGAATTCTGTTTATAAAAATCTATCTTTTCAGAAATCTATCTATCTATCTATCATCAATCTATTTATCTATTCTGTAAATAATTTATCTATAAAATTTTCTATCTAATTATCTATCGGAAATTTATTCCTTTGTTTCCTATTCTATATATCGATGTATTATCCATCCATGTTCATATCTATCATATCATTCTATCTATCTATCTATCTATCTATCTATTCTATCCGATTCTCGTTCCTTTATCTATCTATCTATCTATCATTGCAGTCTCTTCTGAAACATAGATATATCGATGTATCTATCCATCGCAGTTCGCAATATCTATCTATCTATCTAAAATCTATCTATCTATCTATCTATTATCTAGTATCTATCCGATTCTGTTCATATTATTCATCTATCTATCTATCTATCTATTTTAGTATCTATTCATATCTATATATCGATGTATCTATCCATTTACAGTTCAATATATGTATCTATCTATCTATCTATCTAAATAATATATCTATCGTCATACTATATCTATTTACTGATTTTTAAAAAATCATTGAGCCGACTTTATAAAACGGTATTTCTTCATGAGTTGATTTCCGGGAACGATCCGCCAATCATCCACTGATTTATGCTGAGACAGGGTTGAAATTTTCGAATTTTATGGAAATAATCTCTACAAATAGCGCAATTGTTGAATACAAAAACAGAGAATTCTTATTATACGTAAGACCAGATTAATCCAGATAGACAAAACTTTGCATGAAATTTCCGGCGTTTACATATTTTCAACTTCCCAGACATATTTTTTCATTTTGCAAAATGATACAATTAAAAACGAAACCAGAGTAAGATGATCAGAAAAATCACCCGGCAAATCCAGTTATCCATAACAAAATCATTTTTAATGCTTTTTTATTGTTTTTTTTTCTACATATTTTAAAATTTGGTCATATTTTTTTTTACAAATTTTAAAAACTGTTGTAACCTAGAAAAGGTTACTGAATGAATAATTACCAAAAAGGAGGTTGGAAATGAAAAGGTAATCTTTATAACATCAACAAAATACAATACTCGCCAGCGGCGTGAAGTAGGTAAACCACTGATAGTGGTGGACTACGTAGACAGCATAATACCCCCACTCACTTAAAAAAAAATACCTTTGTAGACTTAATTTTGAAGTTAATTTGACTACAGTAAATGTTTATATATTATGATTTAAGGTTATATCCAGGTAGTAGTACATTTTTATTTTTCTCTTTCTTTAGATTGTCAAAAAGAGATATTATTGATAGATAGATGATAGAAAAGAAAATAAAATTAATTAAACCTTACTGAATGAGGAATAACCAAAACGGAGGTTGGAAAATGAAATGCTAAAATTTATAACATCAATAAAATTTCTGAATACTCCTCTCCCGGAGAAAACTTAAAATAAACCACTGCTGTTGGACTAATTACAAAGATTTTGAATCTACTTAAAATTGTGTTCAAAATATTTATCAAAATTGGGGCTAGACCCATTAGAGTTCATAGTGTTTTGTACCTATTCTATTATTAATAGATAATTTACATAAAGAAGTATTACTAGTAGTAGCGGTCATCAGTTGGGCTCAGTGGTGTTGAGCGAGTCAGTCGATATCGGACATTGACAGTACCAACCATCACAACTAGAAATTTGGTCATTAACTCGTATTTCAAGTTTTTTTTAACGTTTTGTACGTCGAACCTAATTTAGGAAGACTTATTGAAATAAGAGCCTCCACTGTGAAAACTACTCTACAACACATAGTTACGGCATATAACAGATAGATAGATAGATAGATAGATAGATAGATAGATAGATTAGAAATGAAAAGGTAATCTTTATAACATCAACAAAATACAATACTCGCCAGCCACCTGAAGCAGGTAAAACACTGCTAGGGGGGACTACTTAGACAGCATATTAGCTCCAATTACAATATTGTCCAACGTATTTATAATGGTTGGGATATACCCGTTAGTGTTCATAGGTACAGTATATAACAAAAACATTTATTTATTTTAAACATAGTATCTATAAATAAAAACGAAATGTATTTTTGCTATCCTCTGCTAGCCGCAATGATGGAGAAAGCATTAACTTGTACCTCTAAATGTTGACTTCAACGTTCACTTTATATTGTCGTCTAAATCACATAAAAATGAAAACAACACTGATATCTCATTTTAACGTATATTTACCAAAATTACAGAAAATTATCTTGAAATACTAAAGATTAAATTTATTCAATAAAATCGATATTGGCTTCAATCACGGACTCTAAATGACTTTGGAATCTCTTGCAACTCTTCTGGACGGTCTCCTTGTTTAAGGTGCTGAATGCTTCCATAATCTTTGCCTTCGGTTCATCTTTGGTGTTACAAGGAGTTTTGTTAGTCTCTCACTCAACTGCATCCCACACATAATAGTCGAGAGGTTTGCAAGTCTAAGGATTTAGGTGGTCAGATGTAAAGGGTGATGTGGTCGCAAATTTGTCTGGAACCCAAGACTGTTTTCTGCTGCTTGTGTGACATGGTGCAGAGTCCTGTTGTCAGACACAGAATCACTCCGCAGTTACCCTCTTGACCCAGAGCAGTAGTACCTCCTCAGAGCACCTCATGTATCACTCAGTTTTGAGAATGATGCCCTCACTAAAAAAAATTGGGAGTTCTTTTCTTATCAGAACGATCAAAGTGAGTTTTTCGAGCTGCCCTACCTTCGTAATCACCATCACATCCAAATCTTTCCGAATTTTCTGCACTGTCCTCAGAAACCCTCTGAAATGTTCGTATTGGAGTGAATGTCAAGCAGTACTGCATGCCATTTCCAAATTTCTGGCGGAGTGAATTACGTCATGGTGCTTTTTTTTTTCTCTCAAAGACGGTGCCAAACAGACCCGACTATACTGCGCAGTCGGCAAAATCAGAAACAAAAAACGCGCACGCGCGAAATTAAAAATATAAAATAGCAACAATTTACCCATCGCACGCTGTACATACTTATCACAGATTTCCGCCACACAGAGAAACTATAACATATGTATGCAACAGTGTGAAAAAGGGGAAAAGAGAATGGGTTTTGTAATAGTTCCCAACGAGTATATGCGCAGCTCTGGTGGTGCCTTCTGACGAGACTATGCGGTTTCCTGCGTATGCCGTAAAGTGATGAGCAATGCATGTCTAACTTCACTGCATTTTGCGTTGGTTGGTTTATTGGTTTATTTTGTCTTACGGCATATCAAAATCTTAATGGGTAATGTAATGCCACCAGGATTTTTAGGATAGGTTCGTATGAATAGAATATGTATTCTTTGTAAGAAATCATTTTATACATCAGGTTTCATTGAAGTATTTTTGTAAAGAGGGGTTTCGTTGAGAATCAAAGGTATTGCTGTTATTTTTCTTTTCCTTTCAGAAATGTATGGTTAGTATTATTACTACAAAAATCAATTTTTATACTTTAATAGCGTCATGAATCCAGTTGCGGGCGTAGTGGGTAACTATTTCCCCTTGGCTGGGACCATAACACGTGCTACCACCCCATGTCAGGTTGGGCAATTAAGAGGTGCTTCCCCTGGGAACAAGAGCAATCAAGAGGTGCTTCCCCTGGGAACAAGAGCAATCAAGAGGTGCTTCCCCTGGGAACAAGAGCAATCAAGAGGTGCTTCCCCTGGGAACAAGAGCAATCAAGAGGTGCTTCCCCTGGGAACAAGGCACTCTTTAAGAGGTGATTCCCTGGGAACAAGAGCAATAAGAGGTGGTTCCCTGGGAACAAAGCAATCAAGAGGTGCTTCCCCTGGGAACAAGAGCAATAGTTTTTGCTTCCCCTGGGAACAAGAGCAATTTAAGAGGTGGTTTCCTGGGAACAAGAGGTTCTTCCCTGGGAACAAGAGCAATCAAGAGGATCTTCCCTGGGAACAAGAGCAATCAAGAGGTGCAGACTTCCCTGGGAACAAGAGCAATCAAGAGGTGCTTCCCTGGGAACAAGATAATCAAAGTGTGCTTTATTTGGGAACAGCAGTCAGTTTTGCTTCCCCCAAGAGGTTCACTATTTACCCATAGCAATCCAAGAGGTGCTTCCCTGGGAACAACAACTGGGTTTGGGTTCCCCTGGGAACAAGAGCAATTAAATATACAAGAGGTGCTTTTATGGGAAAAGTGCATTCAAGAGGTGCTTCCCCTGGGAACAATCCCAATTTGAGGTGTTCCCCTGGGAACCAGAGAGGGCTTCCCAATGAGGCACTAGCAATCAAGAGGTGCTTCCCCTGGGAACAAGAGCAATCAAGAGGTGCTATGGGAACAAGAGCAATTTATAATGAAAGTGTATTTTTATACAATCAATAGTGTTTTGGGAACAAGAGCAATCAAGAGGTTCCCTGGGAACCCATAAAGATCCTAACAGGCACTACAAGAGGTGCTCCCCCTGGGAACAAGAGCAATTAAATCAAGAGGTAGTGTTCCCCTATAATGAAAGTGTATTGCTTCCTTGGGAACAACAGCAATCAAGAGGAGGTTCACTATTAACCATAATCAAGAGGTGCTTCCCCTGGGAACAGAGAGCAGAACAAGAGGTGCTTCCCTGGGAACAAGAGCAATCAAGAGGTGCTTCCCCTGGGAACAAGAGCAATCAATAGGTGCTTCCTAGTGAACAAGGGAACAAGAGCAATCAAGAGGTGCACTATTTACCAAGAGCATCAAGAGGTCTTCCCTGGGAACTACTAGCAATCAAGAGGTGCTTCCCCTGGGAACAAGAGCAATCAAGAGGTGCTTGGGGAACAAGAGCAATCAAGTTCACTATTTAAAACTTTTTTTAAAAGAGGTATTTTAAAGAGTTTTGATTGGGAACAAGAGCAATCAAGAGGTGCTTCCCCTGGGGAACAAGAGCAACTGAGGTGCTTCCCCTGGGAACAAGAGCAATCAAATATATGGGAACTAGTGCAATTTTATAATGAAAGTGGAACAAGAGCAATTAATAGTGTTTTGGAACAAGAGCAAAGAGGTGCTTCCCCTGGGAACAAGAGCAATCAAGGAGGCCATCAAGACTGGGTTTCCCTGGGAACAAGAGCAATTAAATATATTCCCCTAGTGTTTTTACCCTGGGAACAAGAGTTTGATCCCAAGAGGGCTTCCCCCTGGGAACAAGAGGGATCCAAGACAGGTGAGGTTTGGGTCCCCTGGGAACAACAGCAATCAAATACAAGAGCAATCAAGTTTTGCTAATGAAAGGGAACAAGAGCAATCAAGAGGTGCTTTTGGGAACAAGGCAACAAGAGTAGCAATCAAGAGGTCCTTCCCCTGGGAACAAGAGCAATCTGGGTTTGCTTCCCTGGGAACAAGAGCAATCAAGAGGTGCTTCCCCTGGGAACAAAGCAATCAATACTTTAAGAAAGTATGGAACATCCCAATCAAGAGGTTCTTATTTGGGGAACAACAGGCAATCAAGAGGTGCTTCCCTGGGAACAGCAATCAAGAGCAATTAAATATATTCAAGAGTGCTTTTTATGGGAACAAGTGCAATCAAGAGGTGCTTTAATAGTGTTTTGATCCCAATTTGCTTCCCTGGGAACATAGCAATCCAAGAGGCACTACTGGGAACAAGAGGTGCTTCCCTGGGAACAAGAGCAATAAAGATATTGCTAGTGTTCCCTGGGAACAAGAAAGTGTATTTTGCTTCCTTTGGGAAGTGTTTTGATCCCAAGAGGTGCTTCCCTGGGAACAAGAGCAATCAAGCTTCCCTGGGAACAAGAGCCTGCTTCTGGGAACAAGAGCAATTTTTATACTTCCCTGGGAACAACAGCAATCAAGAGGTGCTTCCCCTGGGAACAAGAGCAATTAAATATATTGCTTCCCTGGGGAACAGTTTTTATAATCCCTGGGAACAAGAGCAATCAAGAGGTGCTTCCCTTTAATAGCATTTTTAAAGGGTGTGTTTTGATCCCAATTTGAGGTTCCCTGGGAACAAGAGCAATCAAGGGATCCCTGGGGGAGGCACTACTACACAAGTTTGGGGCTTCTCTGGGAACAAGAGCAATAAATGGGATATTGCAATCAGTGTTTTTCCCTGGGAACAACAGTAATCAACTTTAATAGGGTTTTGATCCCAATTTGAGGTTCCCTGGGAACAACAGCAATCCTAACAGAGGACACACTGGGTTTGGGGCTTCCCTGGGAAACAAGAGCAATCAAAGGTGCTTCCCTGGGAACAAGATAATGAAAGTGTTTTTTAGGACTTTAATAGCAATTTTGATCCCAATTTGAGGTTCCCTATTTCAAGAGGTAGCAGGGATCCAACAAGAGGTGCTTCCCCTGGGAACAAGAGCAATCAAGAGGTGCTTCCCCTGGGAACAAGAGCAATCAAAGGGTGGTTCCCCTGGGAACAAGATAATGAAAGAGGTGCTTCCCTGGGGAACAAGAGCAATCAAGAGGTGCCCTGGGAACAAGAGCAATCAAGAGGTGGTAGAACCCCTGGGAACAACAGCAATCAAGAGGTGCTTTTGGGAACCCTGGGAACAAGAGCAATTAAATATGCTTCCCTAAGTTTTTATCAAATTGGGAACAAGAGCAATTAAGAGGTGTTTTTGATCCCAATCAAGAGGTTCCTAGGGGAACAACACCAATAAGAGGATCCCGGGGAACTAGCAATCAAGGTGGTCCCCTGGGAACAAGAGCAATCAAGAGGTGCTTCCCCTTTATAATGAAAACAATTTTTCCCCTGGGAACAAGAGTGTGAAGAGGTGATCCCCTGGGAACAAAGAGCAATCAAGAGGATCCCCCTGGGAACAAGAGCAATCAAGAGGTGCTTCCCCTGGGAACAAGAGCAATCAAAGGTATATTGGGAACAACAACAATCAAGAGTATTTCCCCTTAAACAAGAGATTTTGCTTCCCCTTTGAACAAGTTCAATCAATTGGTTCCCCTGGGATCAAGACTTCAATCAAAAGGAGGTGGTTCCCCTGGGAACAACAAGAGGTTCTTTCCCTGGGAACAACAGCAATCAAGAGGTGCTTCCCTGGGAACAAAGCAATCAAGAGGCTTTTGGGAACAAAGCAATCAAGAGTACTTCCCTGGAACAACAGCAATCAAGGGTCCTTCCCCAGGGAACAAGAGCAATCAAGAGGTGCTTCCCCTGGGAACAAGAGCAATCAAATGGGAACAACAGCAAGAGGTGCTTCCCTGGGAACAAGAGCAATTTTATATTTGCTTCCCTGGGAACATCCCAACAAGAGGTTCCCTGGGAACCCAATCAGGTACTTCCCTGGGAACCAATCAGAGGGGGCCCCTGGGAACAAGAGCAATCAAGAGGTGCTTCCCCTGGGAACAAGAGCAATCAAGAGGTGCTTCCCCTGGGAACAACAGCAATCAAGAGGTGCTTCCCCTGGGAACAACAGCAATCAAGAGGTGCTTCCCCTGGGAACAACAGCAAAACTTTCCGATCGAATGTTTTGCTGCCGACTGTAGTTAATTGTCTTGCATCTTGCATAGCAACTGGCGAGAGCAGTTACATCTTGATTCTAGGAGAGCTGACAACTGTCTATCGTCACAATGAACTGAATTCAATCTTCAGTTGTAATGTGACTCTCGTATCGTCATCTCAACCAAAGCTTGATAATCACCTACTGCATCGATACAGCTGCATATCTCCATGCATTTCACTTCTTGACTTTTTTTCATACTAATACAACACCACACACTTTACCATGAGTGGCTCTCGGGCTTTGTACTGAGTGAACATTTGTATTAAAGAAAACCAGGGAAATAAAAATGCGTAACGTTTAAAAAAATAAGACTTGAAAAATAACATCTTAGAAAAGTATCCATCACGTTTTAGCACACATTTTAAAAGTACCGACCTCAATTCTGTTATAAAAAAATAACCTATTTGCATAACAGTGGCTCCTTTCTAGAAAAGCCACCTATGACTTTGGATAAAAACCGAAGTCAATGAATATGTTTCTCCCTCGACTCTGCCCTGGGCATCTAGTCAACCAAACCTGTTTTGCGACAGGAGTAAGAATTTATGGTATCACTCTGTTTACGAAAGATCGTGTCCATGAATAAACATCAAGATTTTTTTTCTTCACGTATCATTTACCATCAGTTTAGATGTTTTTTTTTTATTATTGACCTTAGTGGATTTCTCGCCCGAATCGATTTTGATTTGATTGTTTCTTCCTTGTTCTTTCTTTTTTTTTATGTTGTTGTTGTTTTTTTTTTTTTTTTTTTTTTTTTTGGATGCCATTTTTGCTTCCAGAAATGTCGGCTATTTTCCGGGATGACGACTTTAGATACTTCGAGAAGAATCTTCGAGACCTCATCTGCGCTTTTTTTTTGTTTTTGTTGCTTTGCTTGATTCTGTTTTTTGTTAATTGTTCTTTCTATCATGTATTATTTCTCTTTTATTAGGGAAGCTGGGAGGGGGGGGGTCAGATCAGTTCGCGGCAACGAATGATGGAACTCCTCATTTGATAATGTTTAAAAAACACAGTGAATAAAAGATATATATATATATATATATATATATATATATATATATATAGATAGATAGATAGGTAGGTAGGTAGATAGATAGATAGATAGATAGATATACGCATGAACAGACAGATAAAAAAGATATATAGATATGAACAGGCTTATTTATATGCATATATATAGAGAGAGACATAGATAGATAGATAGATAGATATGAACAGAATTATACACACACACACACACACACACACGTATGGGTAAACCTAAGGTCGATAAAATCCAGAGAGCTCAATGTAAGTTCAAAGCAAATAATTTATATCTGCTAACTCATTCATGTCTTCTCTCTCCCTTCACTTCCTCACTTCGTTAATTTACATATGTTTAATACGGCCCGTCATAAATGTGTAAATTTAGTTTTCATTTTTTGTTTGGAAGTAAAGTCTGATGATCCGCAGTCCTTTTAAAAGGGCTGTGGTGAAATAATTTATTACATGAAACCTTAAAGTGGTCTGTTTTTTTATTTAATATATATATATATATATATATATATATATATATATATATATATATATAGATAGAGAGAGAGAGAGAGAGCGGGGTAGATAGACCGATAAAAAACAAGTTGAAATCAGACCAGAAACAGTAGTATTAAAAGGTGCTCAATACACGTATGAAAAAAAAAAACAAAAGTAAAAAATAACATGGAGATATTTTTACTTTTAAAAATACGCTACCTCAACGTCTTCGGACTCAGTTGACAGCCTGAATATATATATATATATATATATATATATATATATATATATATATATATATATATATATATATATATATATATATATATATATTTTTTTGCGTCTTAGAGTGAAGCAGCTCAGTTCTTACGAACCGACAGCCCAGACAATTGCACATATGATTTGATTATCGTGGTGAAGGTTTCGTGCAGGACCATCCACACTTTTTGAAGGGCCAAATACAGACACCTGATGAACCGTGTGCCACATGGTCCCCAAACGACCCTCCGCAGATTTTGAATTCAGAGTTGTCCTTCTCCTAGACCAGTTGCCATCCAAGGCTATAGAACCCAGTCTGTCCTGCTATTTACCCATAGCTGGAGGGAGAAGAAGAGGATTCATACCTTTTAGGATATATATATATATATATATATATATATATATATATATAATATATATGAATAAAAATGACAATAGGAAAACTGGTAATCCCTGACGCGTTTCGTCCAATGTGGACTTTTTTGCTTTGATAAAAGTCCAATTGGACGAAAACGTGGTCTTGGAGTTATCAAGGACATTTTTCTGATATATATTAAATCTACCGATTAAATCGGAGAAATTTATATATATATATATATATATATATATATATATATATATATATATATATATATATATATATATGCTGAATCTCCCGTCGTTTATGAATGGCCTCAGTTCCCAGGAACCGACAGCCCAGGAACCAACAAATGATTTCATTATAGTGGTTGAAGGTTTTTGCATAACCATCCATAAGAAGAAGGGTCGAATATAGAGACCTGGTGCACTACGTGTCGCAAGGTCCTCAAACAACCTTGGCAGGTTTTGAATTCAGAGTTGTTTTCTCCTTTTGGAGAAGGAAAACTCTGAATTGAAACCTGCGGAGGGTCGTTTGGGGACCTTGTGGCACGTAGTGCACCAGGTCTCTGTAATCGGCCCTTCAAAAAGTGTGGATGGTCCTGCACGAAACCTTCACCACTATAATCAAATCTCATGTGCTATACATACGGGTTGGGGACCGCTTGGAATTCAAATTCCCATGAAACTCTTATATTGGAGCCGGCTCAACCCACCTCGGGTGAATGCCGTTAAAAAAACAAGAAGAAGAAAAGCAATAATTCAACTGTAAAATAAGTCCTTAACTGCCAATCTAGTACCGTGTTAAAATTCATAACATCTAGGTACTATAAAGGAATGTTCACCAGAACAATAACCATGAAAGTGTGTATAGAAAAAAAAACACAGGAAAAGCGGTGGAAAAAGATTGAAGCCTGGATTTGTCTTTGAATTACTGAATATAAGAAATAAAAGACATTTTGTTAAGTAGAAAGCGATAAAAGAACAGGAATTAATAAGATAGAAAATAACGATTGACATTGCATTTAATTTTTTAATGATCGGAAATTTGACTGAGAAGAAAAAAAAAGACGAATGAGAGTTTCACAAGCGAGAAATGCGACAGAAAATAACTGTTAACATAGAACTTAATTTACATTTAGCCATTCCAAGTGTAAAATAAGACCGTTTGTATTTATACGTATATATATATATATATATATATATATATATATATATATATATATATATATATATATATATTCTGTAAGTATAAGATCTGATTAAATAATACGCTTTCATTTTCCTAACATTGTGTCAAGAAAATTATAGATAGATAGATAGACAGACAGATAGGGATATATATATATATATATATATATATATATATATATATAGAAAGAGAGAGAGAGAGGGGAGATCAATCGAAAGGAGAAATGACAGATAAAAAAGGATAGATAGATAGATAGATAGATAGATAGATAGATAGATAGATAGATAGATAGATAGATAGGATATATAAAGGGATCAGAAATGGTGAGATGAGATAAACAGAAAGAGGAAATAAAGAGAAATGGTGAGAGAAATAAATACAAAACTAGATGTAATTAGATAAGCAGAATGTATGTTATATAAATAAACAGATAGATAGATAGATAGATAGATAGATAGATAGATAAACTGTTGAGAAAGAAAGAAAAAAAAGAAAGAAAGAAAGAGATAGATAGATAGATAGATAGATAGATAGATAGATAGATAGATAGATAGATAGATAAGACTGGAATAGATCGATTATATATTAATGTAAAAATAGATATCGAAAGTCGATCGCTATTTTCCGAATCCAGCTGATAACTAAATTTGATCGGAAATTTTAATTGTAAATCTATTTCTCCTTTTCATATCTATCTGTCTGTCCAACTGTAGTCTATAGTGGCAACAGAGGACATTGTGATAAAAAATAGATTTTTTTTCAACATTAGGACATGAACTTATCAATATACTTACGTATGTGTCCCATAAGTAAATACATCAATTTCTTTACAATGTGGATTAAATATCAAGAAAATATCAATAAATATCATACAATCATAACGAACCGAAGAAATTTCCTGGTTTCAAAACCGTTTTTTGCATCAGATTTTATGCCTTGACCTAACGAAACTAAAAATGCCGATAGAAATCGAACATATACCAATATATATCCAATTATTAAAAAGTTCTTCTCGAAAAAATAAACAATAATGAACCTACTGATGAGTAAATTAAGAAAGCTGTTAAAATATAAAAGATAATAAAACATCGTAGGTTAACTTCTCCCCAAATTTAATAACATAATTTTTACAAAGGAAATTTGTAATCAGAAACATAGCACAAAATGTGTGATTTATTTATTGTTAATGCGTCATAAAATCGAAAAGGTTAAACATCAAAACTCTCCCACATACACAGGTATCTTAATTGTTAGTACCAAGGAGAGAATTTCCGAGGTCCGGCACTCAGATTATTTGAGCTCCCACCTCAGGTCGGATAAACAAACTCAATCTAGCGTGTCTTACAAGACTTTTTTAAAGAGCGTGTCTGACTTGCCAACCCTTGAGTGTGATTTGGCACGAGAATTAAACTTTGAAGAATTCATCGCGCATTCTGCTTCTATGTTTTTTTTTTTTTAGGGTTGTTTTCAATAAAATACTGATTCGTAATTTTGTTCTACTTTTTTGTAAAGAAGCCATCCTCCTAACACCTAAAGGTATTTTCCTGAGGTCCCCTCAATTTCGAGGCCCAAGAAAATTTTGCCAGTTGTCCATATATACTCTTGATTGGACCCATACAGTCAGTTATGTGCCATACTTGATACGCGTTTAGGCGATCACGTATCTTTCGATACATGACTGACGATTTTATTTTTTTCCCTCAGTAGGTTGCCTTTTTCTTTCTGAGGTAGGCCAGTTGCATTCCAAGACTATAGTCCTGCTATTTACCCATAACTGGGGTGGAGAGAAGAAGAGGATGCATACGTAAGTGAATATAATGTATTCAACTGAAATTCGAACTCAGCTTCCACAATCCAAGCCGCTATCCATTACTCCCCCCCTTCCATATTGGTCCCATTATGCGGAAAGTATTAATGAACATTGTATTGATTATATTCTCTTTTCTTTCTTTCTTTTCTTTCTTCATTGTTGCTTTTTTCTATATTTCTTTCTTTCTTTTTCTTTCTCACCTCTTTCTAGGGTATATGACTTTACCCTCCTATTTTTCTGTTTCTCGATTTCTTTATTCCCTTATTTCATGAACAATTTTTCGTCAGAGGTATAAAAGTTCTATTTTGATTGAAAACGAGCTACAGTAAAACAGAAATATGAAAAAAAGATTCCATGGAACGAGAATAGTTATTTACTGCTTAGCTTAGTCGGGCACAAGGTCAGAAGTGATGAGCATCGAAATCTCTAACACAGAAATCACCTAAACGACTAACATCGTTTCCAGTTCTGAGGAGAGTCTTGTCCAAAAAGGAATAAAAATTGTGTGTTTTATCCTGATGAAAACCTTAAAAATATAGTTAACGATCGTGAAAACCGACCAGATCTTTTGGGGTACCTTAGCACTCTTAATCTTTCATTATAAATTATTTATATATTCTGGCTCTATATTTTTTAATGAATTTTGAATGTTTCAAATATATAAACACTACTTAAACTGTATTTTGTAAATGTTTAGAAATAAGCGTATTTCAATTTATTTTTTTATTTTATTTTTTTTCCAAAGATTATTTTTCGGGATTCTGATCTTTCAGGATTTTGATACATTCAGGATTTTAAATTCCAGGATTTCGATAGTTGGTATTTTCAGATTCGAAATTATAACCCAAATATTCAATTCTTTGTACCTGGAAGCTTAACAATTCATTTTAAATCAAAAGAAAGAAAGAAAGAAAGAAACAAACAAACAAACAAACAAACAAAGGTATGAAGAAAATATTCACTGAAAGAAAGAAAGAAAGAAAGAAAGAAAGAAAGAAAGAAAGAAAGAAAGAAAGGTATGTAGAAGAAAATATTCACTGAAAGAAAGAAAGAAAGAAAGAAAGAAAGAAAGAAAGAAAGAAAAAAAGAATTGGTCAGGGAAATAAATTTTTCACTGAAAGAAAGAACGTTAAGAATATATTATAGATCAGACACAAAAAACAAATATGAACTAAAGCAGAAAGGCAAACACCAAGAAAAGGAAGAGAAAAAGTTGTTGAATAAAAAGAAGAAAAAAAAAATAATAGCGAATTTGGTTAAGAAAAGCAAAGATATTTTCAATTTATAAAGAAAGAAACTGAAAAAAAAAAAACAAAAAAAAAAAAAAAAAAAAAAACTCTATGATAGCTAAATAAAAGAATAGAAAATAAAAATTTAAAACCCCACTCCGATGTTACATGCAGATATCAATTGTTTTTAAACATGGATTTGCTGAGCAATAATTCGATCTAAGAAAACACAACGTCGACATAACAGTTCTTCAAAATGGATTGTTTCTGTTTTTTTTTTTTTCTGGCTAAAATTTCTTTCATACCATCGAAATGTTTCGTCAGCGATTTCTGTCTTCCAGCTTGAAGTATGTAGAAAAAAACACAGAGTGCTAAATTGCCCACTTGAGTTTTGTTTTGTAAGAGAGGCGTGCATTTTACGGCCTTTATTTTGCTTTTTAGTATTGTATCTATTTGTCATAATATCATAATTTTTTAGGGGTGACGTATTTCTCTTACGTACACCCAACGATTATTATTCATTGAATGTTTTTCACGTCCTCCTTTTTCCCCATCAACAGCTCCCCTGCTACCCCCTGTCCCCTCTATTTCCCCCCTCTCCCCTCCTTCTCTCTCCCTCCTTCTCTCTCCCCCTCCTTCTCCCCCTCCTTCTCTCTCCCCCTCCTTCTCTCTCTCTCTGTCTCTCTTCTCTCTCTGATTAACTGGGCACACTTTATATCAATCTTTCCCTTTCTCGCATCTCTCTTTTCTTTCTCTTATCTCTTAATCATGAATAGATTTTCATTTTCCAAACTATAGGCCCCAAAACTCACAAAAATCAATACTCATACATCTTTATATGATTTTAGTGCACACACTAATATATGTGTGTGTGTGTATATATATATATATATAGAGAGAGAGAGAGAAAGTGTGGACATAGGAATCAAGACTGCATGGTGGCTGTCAGTTTCACTTCTAAATGCGAACTTCAGACCAAGCACTTGTGAAACTCACAGTCGCCATGTAGTCTTTAATTCCTGTCACACTCTCCCTATAGCGATTTTCCAAGCGTAGCTTAGATGTGGCACAAGGAAAGTAAGGGGTCACCCAGTGAGGATCGAACTCACTACTCAGTCGTAATTGTTTTAGCGAGACAAATTCTTGGTAACCATTACACCGCCTCGAGGTGCCCAACACTCTCTATATATAATCGCTCCGTTATTTAACCGCTCTTCATCCATAACTACACCAAATTTTAAATCACGTATACCTGAAAATAC